CTCCATTGACTACATATACACTGACTTCATTTAAACAACTATGATAATACAAAACTCATGGGTTTGGTTAGTGTTTTGGTATCGGTGTTCACATTAGATTTTCTAAGTGACAATTTGTTCGCAAATAAGACAAGCCACTCAGATCGCGCAGTAAATTTGCTCAAAGATCGTTAATACACACTGATAATAGGCGCTGCGTAATATCATTGCGCCTGCTGCACCCATGGTACGGCAGCAAAGTTCCTTGATTATTACGCCGGAATGAGAGTATAGTTCCTAGCCATATCGGCCTAGAAAATCGCAACTTTTCATTTTCCGTCAGTCTTAGTACACGATGTAACTACAGAAGAGTCAAGTTTTAAATAGGAAAAATATAGAAACTCTTTGGTCATTTTTGAGCAAGATGCTAACGGTCTAATCAGATTCAATGATCTATGCTAAGATACAGCTAAAAGTGCTACCGTCAGACCCGGAGATCGGCTGAATGGATTCGAATACGGTAAAACTCAACTGTTTAACTCTAGGGGAGTTGGAAAATGAGCCTATTTTCAAAAATAGTGGAGTGTTCCTTTAAAGAATTCGTGTTTTTCCCTGCATGTGACATAATGAAGATCAGTATTAAGTTATTAGCTACATGTTTTTTTGCTTATCTTTCTACTACATGTAAACAGTAGTATTGCACTTTGAATAAATGCACATATAATATATAAGACTTTAATACATTTTCAACACTATAGTCCTCTTGAGGAGCACAGCCAGCTTCTAGTATATATATTTTTATTTTGTACTTAGTTATTATTGTTGTTGTCGTCAAGTTCTACATTCAGCACAATATTGCCCATTTTAAATTTGAACTATTATTAAATAGTATATATATGGGATTTTTTTTGTCTCAAAGACCAGGGAACGTCCAAGGTAATGTTATTTAACTTTAACATTGCACTTTTATATAATGGCTACAAAAGGTTTGTAAGGCTTTTCTCTACACTCCAAATTAAATAAATAAATAAAATTTTATTAAGTAATTTTTAAAAAACTTTTTAAAAATTGGGGACAGTGTATGTAAATTCAATATGATGTATTTTGAATTTTGCACTGCACTGTGTTTTAGGGTTATCGGAAAACACATGAAAATTAACCATGATTTTATCACACTAACCATTTAACCATAGTAGTTAAATTGTGTGTTAAACAAATGACAATCAATCCGTCAAAATCAATCCATGGTTACTGCACTTTTACTATAGTAAAACCATTGTTTTTTTCCGTATTTCCGTAAGGGAAAATTAATGGATAGCCTAATGTCCTGGCAGAAAAGTATCAGTACATTTTACTCTTTTTTTCAGTATAATCATATGCTACAGTTACACAAATATCCTTAAATGTAAAATGTACTTAAAATATGCCTTGATGAATGAAACCATAAAATATTTTAATTCAAAGAGGGCAATGGAAGTTTCTGCTTTGAACATGTGGCTACTAAATATATACATGCTTGAAAGTAGCTTACACTACTACTGTTTATATGTAGTAATATGAAAGATAATAAGCAAAAACATGTAATAACTTAATACTGATCTTCATTATGTTACATGCAGGGAAAAACACGAACTTCTTTAATGTTCACGCTGCGCTGTTGTAACTGATCAGCGCCGAGCTGGTGAGATTAGTTCGCGCTGCGCTGTCAGTTCGGTGGCGCTAGCAAAGGTGGCCTCCCTGCGCTGTTGAGTCGGTCGCGCCGCTCGGTCCATTGACAAACTCTTTATTCTGAGCTCTGAGTGTATTTAGCACAACACAAATGTATTTGTGGTTGTATGTTTTTTTTTTTAGCATGTTGCTATTAGTTGCTAAGGTATTTCGATTGTTTTACCATGTAGCTTTTCTGCATTTCTTACCACCTATAAGTTGTTCTGAGTGTTTGTAGCAAATTGCTAGTTTTTTAACACATTGCTGTTTAATTTCTATGGAGTTGTTATTCAGTTTATAGGCTATTCTGAGTGTGTTATATAACTTTTCGCAACATTTAGAAGTAGCCTATTTTTAAAATAATAATCCAGATATCACATGCCATTGCGATATGCATATTTTACAGTCTCTTTCATCTATGGGGATTTTTCACCCATTTTATCACCCAGCTAGTGGAAATAACTGATTGCTTAGAAAAATAGTGGCACATCTCTCCAACAACCTGCACAATTTGAGAAATCAGTTCACGTCTTTGGTACAAATGTTATGGGATAACTTGTTGAAGTTTAATACAAAGCGCCTACGTTTTGCTCAAATCTCTAACCATAAGTATAAGCATTGCTAATAATGGTGCTTTCCTTAACAAGAACCAGTAACTAGTTTTCTTTACAAATTGACCCTAATTTGTAGTGTCTGTTGTAGTTCCATTGAAGCCCCATGCAATTAGACTGCAGTGGATGAGATGAATACAGGAGGTGGTTGACTGCAGCTGTAGTTTCAATGCTGTCTATTTTAGACCACAACTAGATCTCGGCTCACTAGGAGCTCTTAGTCACAGGTGACTCACACCTCTAATTGTCCACATTGTGTACGTTCCGAGGCGACAGTTTTCCCAATTTCTCTCTTATTAACACACGGCACATGTGCTCTGCATATTTCCCCATAAATCAAAAAGGTTACTTGTTTGCGTTCGAAACCAAAGATCCTGGGTCTTTCTACACTTTTGTTTTGCAGGCTGCTGTTGACATTGTGCAAATCCAGCCATTGTTCACATGTCATTTGGGATCTTTAAAAAAAATGAATCATATTGGCCTGAAACTGAAAGGCTGGTTCCCTGGAAACAATTAGCACTGTTCAGAATAAACAAACATTTCATGGATGAAAATTCATTTGAGGCAAAGGTATGCAGTCATAGGCCATGCATGCTTGTCAGTCTCATTAGCCGAGGCTGTGACGTTCCTTTTGAGGGGTTCAACACTTACACTGACCTGGAAATCTCACGTTTCGGTTAAAAGAACCAGTCGTCTTTTTGATAAATGCATCATCTGTTTGTTTACTCCACAATGAAAATATGCATTAGCTTTACCAACTTGAAAATTACAGTGTCATTTGAGCTAAATAAGCTACAGTTTGGAGATTTCTGCCTTTCCTTTTTAAAAAAGACAGTAGCTGTGCTTGTATGCCTGGTGGAAGAAAAAGAGGGCCACTTAAAAATAAAATGAGGAAATCAATTTATTCATAAATAATTTATTTTCAAATTGACAAATAGACTTATTTAAATAATGTTAAAGGTGCAGTAGGAGATCTTGGAAAATGCTAACTTTAGCCTGATAGCACTGAAAGGGAACGTCCCACCCTCCCTGCAAATTGCATCCAAAGCCACGCCCCCTGAACGCATGAACGCGAACAGATCAGACAACCAGAGACAACATTACTACAATACATCATGTGTCTTTCACCGGTGAGAAAACGTTATAGTACAGTTAGTAAAAATACTACAAGACCAGGAAGGAAGATCAGGTTGTTGATGTTTGCCTGCCATTTTCGCTCTGTCTGCACAGCGTACGTGAACGCGCGGATGACATATCCTGTCTGCGCGAACCGGGTGCGTAGAGGTATGTAAATACACATGTTGACAGGCAGGTAGGAAAGCCAATAAAAATGCTCGGAACGAGCGTTTTGATTGGACGAACATTTCTTGGTCCTACGCCTTCCACAGAATATTTAAATACATATAAATACATTTAGACGACTTAACTTAATGATTGCTATCGGGATGTGAAGAGACTTTAAGCCAGCATAACAAAAAATGTTTCTGAAGACAATCACCTATTGCACCTTTAAGAAATATAATAATGCACTAATAAATCACAGAAAATAGACATCTTTAAAAGTCAATAATGTTTGAAATGTTAGTTAAATGCCACAAAATGCTTTTTTGAAATTCATTTTAATGCAATTGTCATGCAAGAATTAAATAAATAGACAAGAATGAAATAAATAGACCCACTTTATATTAAATGTACAAACATTAAAATTATTATTTTGATACAGTGCACTTATTGTCTACATGTTTTTACATGGTCTTTATTGCATTGTACTAATTTTAAAAATACCTGCATGTAATTACATCTGTAATTCATTTATGTAGTTACAAATTACACATTTCACCCTGACCCTTAACCAACCCTTAAAGGGATAGTTCACCCAAAAATGAAAATTAAATCATCATTTACGCACCCTTGTGTTGTTCTAATATCTGTTGCCTTTCTTTCTTTTTCGGACCACCAAACCTGACCCTAACCTTAACCGTGTCCCACCTTAATAGCAGCAAAAGTGCTTTGCAATTCAACATGAACACAATAAGTACACTGTACCTATAAAAATCTTTTTCACAAATACGTAGTAGTTAAAGGGCTAGTTCATCCACAAATTAAAAATTCTGTCATTAATTACTCACCCTAATGTCGGTCCAAACCCGTAAGACCTTCGTTCATTTTCGGAGCACAAATTAAGATACTTTTTATGAAATCTGAGAGCTTTCTGACCCTGCATAGACAAAAGTTGCTTGCATTTTTTAATCAGTAAATTGATCATTTGTTTTTATTTTCAAGTGGTTTGCATGTCTTAGAATGTCAGCAAGATGACTGCTGAATGAACTGACTTTCCTAAAAAGACTTAAAACTTGCTCCAACTCTCCCAACAGAGTATCTGAGAGCAATTAACGATCCAGGCTCTTTGATGCTGCATGTGTTTGAGAACTCGCTGATGTACAAGTGAAATCATGATTGGTAACAAATAAATTATGTCAAGTTTGTTTTTAACAGCACTTCTTTTATTTTCCTCAATGTAGATACTGTATAATAGACCACATAAATGACATAAAAATTCGAAATATAAAAAACATTTTAAAATTACACTAATCACTGTAGTGTATAAATTCATCTTTAAGTAGGTAAATACAGCAGGTGAAACACTCATGCATTTAAAGTTTAATCTTATCAGTTTTGTTGAAAATGTCTGTATTGGTGCAGCTGTAATGAACATGGATGTATCTCTCCTTCTGTGTCTCTCATCAGTCACTAAAGGGCAGCAGGAGGAGACGGTGGGCGCCTCTGCTGTGGCAGTTTCTGCAGAGGGGGAGGAAGAGGAGCAGTCGTCATCCCCTCTTCCTGCGAGCCCTGAGACGGGGGCGGCACAAACATCATCAGCCTCTGGAGAAGCTAAAAGCAGGTCAGAGCAGCATCCTCTCGCCAGGCTGAGTCACCGCCGGCGTGGGAAGCGTGCGCATGCGGACGTGTGTGTGTGTCAGTGTGAACGTTTGTGAATGGCTTCGTGTTTTAAGCCTTTTTGGCTGTATTGTGCCTTTCTACCAAAATCTCAAAATGGAAGGTCAAACGATCAATGCCTGTTGGCACACATGTGTGCCGAAGTATGTGTGCATGTATTGCTTTTGGCTACTAGGTTTGTGCGATGTCTACAAAATTGGCATCGGACGATGTCTACAGTGAAACATCGCGATGGACGATGACATCGACGTGGGCGGGGGGTGGGGGTTTGAGCCCGAAGCATGAATCCTTATAAGGCACAGAAAGCAAATGACGATTCCTAACACTGTGTCTACACCGGACGCGAGCAGCGCGGCGTGACAAAATACTATAGAACCGCTGATCTATAATAGAGATTCATTATATATAGATCAGTGTATAGAACTTATTATAATCAGTGATTCTGTCTACAATGGATGCGCCGCTGCGCAACACGACAAATTCCCGACAGTAAACTGCTGCCACGTTCTATTTATGATGTGCTGACACAAATTTCAAATGACAACTGTCGCGTCCGGTGTAGACACAGTGTAACATTTGCCTGTTACATTACAGTACATAAAATTTCACTTACCACATAAACAGAGTAAGGTTGCTAGCGGTAGCCTGTTACATTACAGTACATAAAATTTCACTCTTACCACATAAACAGAGTAAGGAGAGATGACTTAGGTCGATGGCGAATGATTTGCAGATCCTGAGCACCACTGACAAACATCTAATCTTGTAAAATGTACTTACAAGACCTTGTAATCTTGTAAGTACTGCCGCTTCATAGTTTTAGCTTTAAATAGTTTTAGTACGCGCGATCGCGAATCTTGAAAGTGAAAGTGAAACTGAAAAGCGATCGTGCATTCAAAAGCCGTTTCAATGCCAGGTATAATAGCAGCTCCCTGATGCCCGAAATATATGTAGTATAATTACCCAATGATATAACTGCGAGGGAAAATATTTAAATTAGTGCTGTCAAACGATTAATCGCGATTAATCGCATCCAAAATAAAAGTTTTTGATCACATAATATATGTGTGTGTACTGTGTGTATTTATTATGTATATAGAAATGCAAACACATGCATGTATATATTTAAGAAAAAATATGTTATGTTTATATAATACATATATTTATATATGATATAAATTATATGAATATAAATATATACATGTAAATACATGTAAATATTTTCAAAATATATACTGTATGTGTGTGCTTTTATATATACATAATAAATATACACAGTACACACACACATATTATGTAAACTAAAACGTTTATTATGGATGTGATTAATCGTTTGACAGCACTAATTGAAATTAGTGACTAATTAGAAATTATCCTCCCATCTCGTATTTATTCCCTTTAGGGGTTCCGTATACACGTCATTTTCTTTCCGAACACGTTATTGGGACGCGGCGGATTGCGGGGGGGTCACGATGCCGGCTCAACATCGTGATGTCTATCAGCCATCGGCAATGGACGATGGCATCGTCTATCGGCCCAACCCTATTGGCTACCGTTCTGTCTTAACATGGGGGATGGGCACTTGTTCAGCTTACTAAAAGATCATTCTGGGTAAAGACGACTGCAGTGCAGGAACCCAGGAAGAAGTGCTAATGTGGCGCAGCCCTCCGGCTCAGAGAGTTCACTGTGTTTCTCAGAGATCAGTAAGGTGCTACGTGAGGCCAGCTGCAGAATGTATCCTGTGTGCAGTATGCAGATTTTCTGTTTACATTCCCCAAATGTGCTGTATAGGTACAGTATTGTATCCCACAATGCAATATGCTTAATTTGACCTTGCATTTATAGTGTGACGTATGACACAGAAATAATATTGATGATTTTTGACATTATTGGCTATAGTTGAAAATGTAAAAAATCGCATGTTACTTCTGTTTTGTTCAGAATAGAATAGTACTTACTACTATTTGTAGTATACACTGCATTCAGTAAGTATACAAACAGTGGTATGTTGACCACTATTTTTTGCATATTAAATGAAACCGTAAGCATTCTGTACAGTAAATATTTCAAACAGAAGTATGCTACATTGTGTTTGCATCAGGGTTATTATAGTTAACTAAAAAAAACAAAACATTTACGCTACTTGAAATAAAATAAACTTTCTAAGTGAAATAAATTAAAATATAAAAAACCTTAAATGTATTTTATTAATTTAAACTTTTTTTTAAACTGAAATAAAAATTTAGACATATTAAAAAACAAATACAAATATCAAAAACACCTAAAAAACCTTAACTAAAAACAAAATTAAATGAAAAAAAAAAACATTCAAAATATTAATAAAATCTATAATTGTATCTCAATGATAGGTAAAATAACTAATAAAATGGTTGACATGACCTCACATTGCATGTGTCAAGCTTTTTATGGTCATAGCACAGGTGCAATTAGAAATTTACAAGATCACTATTACATTTGTAAAATGTATATAGTTCCAGATTAAACAAATTGTAAATATATAAAGTATTTTTATATATATATATGTCTCTTTAATTTCCTATTTATTTAGACATTTATGCCACACGTGTGTGTGGGTGTATATGTATACAAAAAACGAATCTGATTATGTAACTTGCGTTACTTGTAATATATTACCCCCAACACTGAACGAAAGAATACAACAAAATATACAAAAGTATATAATAATATAGCAGTGAGTGGTGTACGGTTGTCATCTTAAAAACTTTTTTTTTTCCTGTCTGAAAAGATGTATAGTAACTGTTGGTATCAAATAAAAGAAACATAATGCAGAAAAAAGAAAGCTGAAAATACTTATAGTTAACTTATCACAATAGAAGTCAGATGCATTGCATAGCTTATCCTGCTGTTGCATACTTCACATTTTAGCAAATGTGATTGGCAGTCCAGGTATTCTATGCATACTGTGCACTGTATACATACTATATACAGCAGAAATGGTAAGAGTAAGATTTTAGTATGCCATTTCAAACATAGACCTTTTTTGTAACTCATTTGATTGGACCGCCAAAAAGATGATTTGGATTAAAATCCAAAAATGCATACTAAATGCAACCACATTTAATTGCAGATGACAAAAATTTTGCATACTACAATTGTAGTGCGCAAATGCATGCCACATTTTCTTTTAATAAAAACAACGCATTATGCTGTATAAAGTATATACTGCACAGTATATAGCAGTACATAGCCTTTATTGCTAGTTTGAAATCTTTTTCTTGGGTTTGTCTCTGGGTTTGTAGCAGAGCATGTGAGCGAAGCGGAGCGGTGTGACGCTCCGCTACGTTTTCCGCTCTATGGACGTGCGCTCCACTCAGTCGCTCTAACCGCCCAAGCAAACGCTCCGTTAATATTCCGCTCACGCTCATGAAACAATGTCTGGACTCCATAACTGCTCTACTATTCTCGATCTCTACAGATTCTCGATCTCGAACAAGCAAATCACCAAACGGCATTCTGGGTTGAGCGAGCTGCGCTGAGCGTATTGAGCGAGCGGAGCGGAATCTTCAGAAAGGCGCTCTGCGCTCTTAAGGAAATATTACCACTCTGCTCCCCGCTCCGCTCACGCTCCGCTCCGCTCACATGCTCTGGTTTGTAGGCATGTTCATGCACCATGTCTGTTTGTTTATGCTCTCAGCTGAATGTGCCTCAATGTTGATGTAACACTACAAATTTAAGGTTCCCGTGCCACACATGCACAAACACACATAAACACACAAACCCCTGTCCAAACAGTCAGCTCACCACGGCCGCGGCTCTCCCAAGACTCCAGTCCATGAAAGGCTGTTAACAGATTAAAGGCTCTTTGGGACGGACTGTACTGCCCATGAGGGCCAATGATGTGGAGACCCGTTTTATATCTGATCAATATTTATTTCCTCTTTAAGCTGTGATGACAACACAACAACCTCACTGATAACTATTGGAGGATTCGCTGCAGTGGTCAAATGTTATTTTTTTGCAACTGCATTAAATGATAGAAGATTTGACGTAGCAACATTTCAACACAAATTAATGTTTGTCCAGTCTGTAGTGAATGGTCACTAAAATTGTTGTTTTCAAGTTGAGGGAGTTTTTTGTCTGTCATGAAGATCTGATGGTTGCACTAGAAAGTTGTGAAGTAGGAGTTACTCATAATATTGCCTTTCACGGTTAAATCTGTTGTGTCTAAATGTTGTGTAGCTATATTTAAACAAGTTAGCATGAAGCCGTCTCCTCACTCTTATTCCAGTGAGGGGTTCTAGTTTAATTGTTGAAAATGTTCCCATTTTCAGGGAGTGTGAAAATAAAAGACAGCATGTGTGAATTCTAACACTCCCACACACTTATTAGTAGTATAAACTTTCTTGCTTTCATCTCCTTTGAGTGTAGCGTGTAGAGATTTACACTCAGGTACTTTTATTCTTTGGAGCTTTTGTTCTCTTGCAGTGTATTTCAGTCATTTCAAATATATGGTACAAATGTAAAGATTCCAGTTAATTGATATCATCGATATCCTTCCTTAAATGCGTTTTTAGAAAGCCGCAGGTTATAAAATGTTTCTGTTTATGCATATTTTACAAAAATAATTATTATAAAAATGGCTTGCATAGTTTCAAAGGATTTAAAGGAGCAGTTCACTGAAAAAGTCAATTCTGTCATTTACACACCCTCAAGTCTTTCCAAATCCAAGACTTTCATTCTGTGTTGAAATACAGATGTAGATATTTTCAGTAAAACCAAAAAATTATTGGATGAATTCCAAATAGCCTTTTTGTGCCTTGAAGGGCACTCAGGGAAGGAGATGTAATTTGAGGAGCGTTCCAAATGAAAAGAGAACAAGTGAATCCCTTCACGAAGGGCCCTTCCAGAAGTCCAGATATATATACTGTATATACAGAATGTAATTACAAAATGCATATTTATTTGCAACAACTATAATAACTAGAGCCCGACCGATATGGGTTTTTTGGGGCCGATACCGATATTAGTAGCAAACAATGGAGCACGCTCTGCTGGACAAACTAAGTAATTACACCATTTCAAGCATTTCATCTGCATTATATGTTCTGTAAAAAAAATGTTCATATCGGCCGATAATATCGGCAAAACGATATATCGGGTCGGGCTCTAATAATAACAGTTAGGGATGCACAGAAATGAAAATTCTTAGCCGAAGCCGAACAAAATTAAACACTGGGCCGAGGGCCGAAGGCTGAATACCGAACACGGTTTTTCAAATTTTTTCCCCCATTTTGCCAATTTTGTTCACAATTGCATAAATTAAATGTGCTTAACACTGAACATTTTTAACATTCTATCAGACATTATACCAATAAAACACAATTTAACTTAAAATTAATAAGTTAGTAAAATAATATTTTTTGGACATTTTTGAGACCCCCTTCTTGAATCAGGCATGTATTTTTTACTGTACAAACAAATGCAACTTTGCTGAGCAGAAGAAAATATAACAGATCCCAGTCTGAACACTGTGTGAATGCTATAATAAATATTAATAGAGCTGTTGTAATTATTATTATCCTTTTTATTGTCTTTTTAATTTTATTTTACAGAACAACAGTAAAATTACGATTGCTTCTTTTTTTTTCAGCTTTTATTTTGGCAGAAACCTGCAGGAAGACCTCAGTGCTTCTTTTTGTTGACAACAGTAGATTTATAAATGATTCTCATTATGAATTTGGGAAGACGTTTGTTGCACGTATCACATTGTCACATGTCTTATAAAAATTCATAAAAATGTTACTGAGCAACTGACGAATAACACTATTTCAGCTCAGATTTTTCTCGCGCTTTGGACTTTGAACCCTGCCGCCGCGAGCTCATGCAGCTCTGTTTGAATACATGCAATTCGTTCGTGTATTAGAAAACACAACGTTCTGCAGTTTATTTAATTGTTTAAAGGCATTTCGCGATTTCAGTCATCATACAGTAACCAGCAACAACCACCCCTTCCACTTCTCATCGGAGACATGCGATGCAGTACTAAACAGTCTCTCGCTGTCGGTGCTTGTAATGATTTTTGCGTCTTTCTCGGATAGTTTTAAATGCTTTTCACACTGCCGTCATGTTTGTTGCATTAGTGCGCGCCTCTATTTGATCGCATCACGTCATGTTCGGTACAATTTATTAGGTCTTTTCGCTTATTCGGCCGAACACCGAAAGAGCTTTGTTGCTATTTTTGGCCGAATAATTTTGGTTGCCGAACATTCAGTGCATCCCTAATAACAGTAATAGGAGATTTATGTTGTAAGAACAGCAAATGGGATGATGGACGCTGTAATGCATTGTCCTGGTAACTTTCCAGGAGAAGGTAATGAGTAAATTACGTTTCACTGCTCTCTTTGCCAAGTGTGTTCTTATGGGTTTGGAATGACATGAAGGTGAGTAATTGATGACAGAATTTGTGTTTTGAATGAATTTGGAATAACTCGTGAAAGATTTACTGAATGGGCTCTGTTTGTGTGAATAACTTAATAAATTGTTGTCTGTGGGGAAAAAAAGGTTGATCACGAAGACCCCTAAGGTATTATTTTATTAATTAATAATATAAGCTATGCAATATCACGTTCATTATTGCAGACGAATCGCCTTCGATTATGAACGTGATATTGCGTAGCTTGTCAGTGATCTACGGCTCTGTGTAGTAAATGCCGCTCCATCTGAAAGCAGGTGATGGAGATTTACTACTAATCACAGAACCGGCTTTACTGACGAGATGCGCATGATAATCGCATGCGATTTATCGTGCAACCCTACTGGAGACGTTTGTAATGCTTTTTGCATAGTTCATTATACTTATTTAATGGATATTTTGTGACTTAAATTACATGTTACTCAGACACTGACATATTTGGCTGGTCAAAAGTGTTACACTGTCGCAAATTCAATGACTGTTTTGAGAATCAAGTTCGTTTTTTTTTGTTGTTTTTTTTAAATCCACGAAAGTGGTTTTTATTGTCTCTTATAACAAAACGCGTATATTGAAACCCCTGCAAATGCATATCCTGTTGAAATCAATAGTGAAATCTTTTTAAAACTGTAGCTCCATTATTACCTCTTATCAGATTTTGACTCATGTTGTTTATATGTTATACACTGAGTGAAAATAAGTATTTTTTATTGCAATTGTTGCAGTTTTGCATCAGTAGATCTCTGAGGGTTAAAGGAATGTTCAGCATTCAACCGAAACATTCCTTCAAACCCATTAGAGAACTGTTCTGTAATATATGCCATCTCGTTTCACTGGCTAACCGCGCTCCTCTCATCTCCTCACAGCGAACAGCTCTGTGCCTTCTGTTACTGTGCTGGTCGAAGCCTGTTGGGCCAGGGGGATCTGAAGCCATTCAGGGTCACGCCCGGATACGACCCTCCACTCCCACAATCCTCCGCAGAGGAGGGCCACGACCGTGACGACAAGAGTGGGGCTGCCAGCCAATCAGGGAGGCACAGGGGCCCAGAGAGGTAAGCTGATTGGCTGAGGCGAGCGGGGCTGTCGTATGATATCAGCTGTTATGTTTAAATGAGCTCAGCTAAATGGGGCTTCTCTCACAACTGTTTGTTTCTTCTCGGCCAGCCCCTGTGAAATAGATCGGATGCTATTGGCCGTTGTTAGAGAAAGGAAAGTGTTACGTGTGTGTGTGTGTGCGTTTGCGCTCTCTGTGACGGTGTTTGTAAGGGCTCTTCTGAACGGTAGGCCTGTTACAGGCTGCGGGGCGCTGATATCTGACGTCACTGCTTGAATCATCCTCATCTGGATGAGATTTCAGGCAGAGACTGTTTGAATACGGGTCATTCCAGTTGAAAATTGCATGCAGTGCTCTAGTGTGTTTTTGCTTAATATCCTGGAGACAGACTCATATGAAGCAAACACAGGATTTGTCCTAAAGTGACCCTCTGTGTCGTCTCAGCAAATGGCAGTGCTTATTTGTCCCACATGCTTTCATTTAAAGTTCAGTGTCTCCTAAAGCTATAATATGATTGTAGTACGCTTCTGTTAGTATTGGTAGTATACGGTTGGTAGGATTTTAAAATGTTTTTAAAGAAGTCTCATACTAGCCAAGGCTGCATTTATTTGATCAAAAATACAGTAAAACCTGTATTATTGTGGAATATTATTAACATTTAAAATAGTCTCTAAAATACATATTTATATATTTTAAAACATAATTTATTGCTGTGATGCAAAGCTGAATTTTCAGCATCATTACTCCAGTCTTTGGTGTCACATGATCCTTCAGAAATCATTCTAATATGCAGAGTTGCTGCTCAAGAAACATTTATCATTATCAGTGTTGTAAATAGTTGTGCTGCTTAATATTTTTTTTTCCTCAGGATTTTTTGATAAATAAAGTTCAAAATAGCAGCATTTATTTTAAATAGAAATTATTTAATTAATTGAATTATTTTAAATAGTTATAATCATTATCGTCACGTTAATTTAATTCATCCTTGCTGAATAAAAGTATTATTTAAAAAAAAAAAAATCCTGCTGACACCAAACTTCTGAATGGTGTAAAATGCATACTGACATTTACCTTTTATTTATTTTGTGATGATATGTGCTGGTTGACTGTATGTTATAAACTGTATATTTAAAGGACTGTAAAAGCTCTATGTTGTATATAGCAGTCAAACATTTGGAATAAATATGATTTTTAATAATGTTTTTGAAAGTAGTCTCTTTTGCTCACCAAGGCTGCATTAATTTGATCATAATACATTAAGTAATATTGTAAAATACTATTCTAATTTTAATTAGCAAATAACTGTTTTCTGTAATATTTTTGAAAATGTATTTTATTAAAGCTGAATTTTCAACATCATTACTTCAGTCTTCAGAGTCACATGATCCTTCTGTAGGTGTAGGTGAAATAAATATGAAACATTATTGGCATAATTTGCCATTTATGTTGTCCTCTACATTATGAAATAATCTAGCCCGTATTTTGTATGTTTGTTTAATCAATAAACAAATGCCATGTTTGAGCTGCATTTAATGGCATAGTGCTACAGCAACATTGTTTACGCGTTACGTTTTAAATAACACGGCATTATGGGGATAGATGTAAATCCTGAGGCCTGCTCTTCATTCACAAAGGTGTGAACACGCACATGGCTGTTGGCTGTTTGCTTTTCTGCGAGCGTTCTCCTCGAGCTGATCATTACCCAGCAGCTATTGGGAGTCACAGCGTGCGCTCAGCCCAACAAAGGGCCCTCTCCCTGCTCTCTCGCACAGCTGCCTAATTTGTCTTGGCTCTTTGGAGCCAATCAGCCGTCTCCCAGGGGCCCGTGTGACGTAATGTGCTGCCAGTCTGTTGTTGGCGGTTCGCCAGTCCTGCTGAGCTTTGTCATCTGTGGGCCGCACTATCGAGCAGCAGGTCTGAATGTGGAGAAGTGAGACACGACGGTGGAAAAAGGCAGTTTTAAGGGAATTTCTGGATTGGTTCATTTGCAGCAGCATGATAGAAAATTAACATAGATCAGTAATCAGGTTTTGTAATCAGGTTTTCAAACAGAGATGGCAACAAAGAGGCAAAACTTATGGACTGCAGCTTTAAATATTTAATTGTTAATGCTCATTTTCCTTATTTTTATATTTTTCTGTCATCTAACACTCACTTAAAATTAATCTTTAAAACAATCTTTTAAATGTAATGTTTAGCAAATTGAATGTCTCAAGATGAACATCCATTTTTCATGCATACATTATAATAATGTAAAGGCTAAATTGATTTGTAGCTTTTACAAAGATGTTAAAAAAGTTTTTAGCATGTAATTTTTAATTTATTTACAGAAAATAGAATTGTAAAACCATTAATTTATTAACCATAACATAATTATTGACATATTGGTATTGGCCTGAATTCTAATATTAGTGCATCCCTGCATTCACTGTGGTACAAAGAAGAAAATGAAGCAGGCCGCATGAAGCACCTTTACACATTTCCAGTACTGCATGGTAGTTATATACCGTCATCAGCTGAAACATGTTGTTTGTGTTGCTTTCCATTGATTGAGTTTGTTGGATGGTGTACATCATTTAATTGCTTTGTTAGGTTATGCAAAATAGCATGAAACCCCATTTTTATATACAGTATTAGTGCTACTTGGTAAAATAATCTGGCACGTTGTTCTCAGAAATTATATTTGGTATCATCTCCCATCTATTGTTGTGGGATTACTCAGAATGTCAGTCAGAAGCACACGCTGCGTTTGAAATCACCGCTGACCCCTCGTATATGTCAGCCGTCCCAGCAGGTGGATAGAGGAGGGGTGTAATGAGATGCGCTGCTGTGATGGATGCATTTTTGTCCCATGATGTATTTACGATGAGTCATTTCTGTGTAAGTGGTTAATCAATCAGCACCATCCCACACAACCCCCCCACACCTTAATTAAAATGGCTGTGAGTCAAACCCTTCCAGTGCCTAAATGTCAAGAATAAATGAACACTCTCCTGGTGCCGGTGGCTCATGATAGAGGGCCAGCAGTTAGACAGCATGTGCACATTCATCTCACTCTTCTCAGTCTGTATGTGCTCTATAGAAATTAGGGCTGGGAAACCTTTTAATTGAATTAAGTACATGATATGAACTTATTAATTAAGATTTAATCAACCGCACTTTCGTATATCATATAATCGTATTTCATATAATTAGTGAAAAAGCCTAAATGTAGATGAATTTATAGACATGCACAATTTAAAGATAATTTACAGATGAAAAATACTTTAATAGGCATTACAACAAATTTTAAATTAACATTTATTTGCATGTTACATTAAAATGTACACACAGTATTTATTTATTTATTTTATTTTATTTTTTTTTTAAATGTGTTTTTTTTTTTTTTACCAAGTCACCTAAGAAACATGCTAAGAGGATATTAAGCTCTTGGAGAATTGAAAGGGAACAATTAGGAATACAAATATAATAAATTATTTTATATAAATTAAATTTGGATCAGTATTATTTTAGATACTATTATAGGTTTATATATATATATATATATTAGGGCTGTCAATAGATTAAAATTTTTAA